AAATCGCGAATGTTTTGTTCAAAAAGTAGAAGATCAGGATGCTATTTCAAAGTTAATGACTGAGTTACAACATGAAGCACAAAAAGCACAAAAGGTGGGACCAATCGTTGGAAATATTTATGCTGTAGAATATGAAAATGTATGGCATAGAGGTCTAGTTACATGTTTAGATCCAGTAAAAGTACACTATATAGATTATGGTAATGAAGAAATTGTTGAAACAAATGATTTTCGTAAAATTGATAAATATGAGAATATTCCAAGATTTTGTGCTAAAATTCGATTATCTCAAAAAGCTTATGAGAAATATAAAAATTTCAAATATGAGGATGTAATAAGTGTAAAAATGATATCAGTTGATTCCAACAAAGTAATTAATGTTGAAGTTCAAAATGAGAATGATATATCAACATCAGAAGTAATTGAGACAAATAATGATCAAAATCTAAATACCTCAACTATTGCAAAAGTTGATGATGAAACTATGGTTTCTTCAGAAATATCCACTAGCAGTAAAGCATTATATTCTTTATGCAAAGAAAAAAGTATAGTGAATGCTCTAACTGTTGGAGAAATTGGTATTCTAGAAATTCATGCAGAAATAAAGAATAATGCTTATGGTATTACATTATTGCCTAATAATGCAGTACCTCATTATGAAAAATTAGTGGCCGAATTACCTACAACGTGCACGCAAGCGGCAGAATGTTCAAATCATAGGTAAACAATAGCGATATACTATACATTATTTCAACGAATTAAACGTTGATATAGTTTGTAAAATTATTAATTTTTAGACCAAATGTAGGAGATTTAATATGTGGTCAAAGAGCTGACGGAGATTGGCTTAGGGGATATATTTTATCTCTGCAACCATCTTTAAAAATGGCTATAATAGATGAAGCTAGAATAATGCCAATTAATAGGACTGTCACATGCGATAAAGTCTTTTCAGATATTTATGCATTTGGTGTAATATGTGAAGTAACTGATGCTAAACATAAATTTAATGTAAGATTTATAATATCTAATATGCTATTAAATATAATATATGTTACTTCTTAATCTCCCAATTATAACTTCTAGGAAGGTGATATGTGTGAATTTAAAGTAATAGGACAAACAGTTAATAACGAGCAAGGTAAAATTGAAATAGAAATTTTTAAAGAAGAGGTTAAGATAAAAGCTGCTGTAAAGCCTTGGATACCAATGCCTGAACAAAAAGGATTACAATATGCTGAATTGAAAAATGAATCTGAGGTATGATTTTTGGTTTTAACTTAAATAAAAATAGTTATTATTTTACTATTATTTTATTTATTTCACTATTGCTTATGGAAAAAGTATCATTTTTTTTATGAAAACCATTTTTGCAGGTATGCCTTACTTCTTATCGAAGTCATATACTTCTATTTGTTCGTTCCTTAGATACTGCAGGTTTGGAACACTATAACCATGTTATGCAAAATGTTGCAAAATGTGCTCAAACATGTACGTAAAATAGTTGATAGGATTTAGTAAAAATTAAACTAACTTTGTACAAACTTGTATAAAATAAAAATACCATTTTGTTTTTTCTTTCCTATAGCTTCATTTTTAAAAGAACTGCCAGTTGTGGGGCAAATGGTAATAGCTCAGTTTGCTGACGAAAATTATTATCGTGCAATTGTTACTAAGATACAAGATGATAAAATTACAGTTTCGTATGTTGATTTTGGTAATACAGAAGTTACAGATATAAAGAAACTTAAGATTTTATCTGACAATTTAAAGGAGGTGGGGTGCAATTTAATATATGTATGATAATATAGTTTAAAGGTATTTGTATCTATTTAATCTATTAATCTAATTTTTAAAAAAAGCTCCGATCTTGTACAACAAAAGTCGTACTAAAAGATGTTCCTAAAGATGTTCCTATGACGAAAGAAGTAAATGATTATCTAGCTCACTTGGTAGGAACTGAAGTTCCTCTGTTATGTACATTTGATGGTATACCTTCCAAAGATGGTGTATATCTGAAATTTCATGATGGAGAAGACATTAATAAGGTGATAAGTAAATTACTCGAGCCGATATCTAAGGAAGTTGCTGAAGCTGGTAATTATTAAGAAATGGATAACAAGTATTTTTAATAAATGATATCATTTAAATTAATATTAATTTCGCTTGCAGATAAAACCTGTTATATGGCGGAGAATGTAAATACTGTTGATTTGGGAAATGTTGGTGATATCATTGAAGCACTTGTACTGCATCCTATTGAAAATGGTTACAGATACGCAATATGTCTCTTAGATTATGATTTAATGACTCATGTTTTTGACATAATGCCAAAAAAGGTAATCTTCGATTTCATAAACTTATATTCTGGCTTAATATAAATTTATATATATGTGTAACGCTTTTAAAGATGGCTGCATATTGCGAAACAACTGATTACTATATTCCTCGCGACAATGAGTTATGTCTTGCACTTTATGATGATGGGTGGTATCGTGCTATATGTATAAATCGTAGTTACACACATACAACATGTGCCGTGTTTTTTGTCGATTTTGGAAATACGGAGTTCGTCAGTCATAAAGATTTACGGCTTATGCCCAAAGATTTTACAACTCCAGATACACTTGCAAATATTTGTAACATTATTAGTACGTACATTTTGACTATTGTGTATATTTCAATCATTATTATTTTACTGTTTAATCATTATACAGTTACAGTTTTTTTAACATGATTTCACAGATATCGCACCTACTGATAGCAATGGACGATATTCTTCCCAAATCGAAAAACGAATATCAGAATTAGTTGTTCCAGATAGTTGTATTAAAATAAAAATTATTGAGCGTGATCTGGAGTGTGGAATGTACAATGTGGAATTACCATTAGTTAAAGCCAAATTAATTGAAGAAGGTTTAATATCACCTTGAAAAAAAACATGCATCTCATTATGCAAAAAAGGAGAACATATTAGTTCTAATGTTTGAAGCTAAAATTGAGATATTTTTAGTTAAAATAGTTAAAACATGATTTGTTTCTTGAAAGTATTTTAACATTTGTAGAAGACATTCCACTCTTTGATATTATTGTATCTTCTCAAATAGTATGTAAGATCAGTACTTTTTGAACACTTTTTTTATATTTGCTTTTGTCAGTATTATATTTTGTTTCGGTGAATCTCTATATTCAATATACTTTTTGCGAGACCTGTATTTTGTGTACAATTTATAATAAATATGAAGTGAAAATAAAGAGTACACCCAGTGCAGTTAATTCTATACTGAAAGATAAATTTGTCGACTGTGGTAATCTTTTCACTAATAAAAATTATGAACTTTTTATAATTTTATAATAGGCATTTTTTTGTGTGTTCAGTACCTAATTTAATTGAAGTTATAGCTGATTTGATGATTTATCATCCTAACCTATCTCACAATCAGCTTATTAACCTACTTGATGTGTCTATTCAGATGACAGATCACTGTAAGCAACTGTCCGATTTAAATGATACCGGGCGTTCAAGCAATAGAAATAATAAATGATGCATGTTCAGATAAGACACTCTTACAGGGATCTACTACGTAAGAATACTAATACCATGAAAGGATGGCATATTTATGACAGCGTTTATGCATCAATACAGGTGATATATATAATAATTAATTGTTATTAATAAGACCTTCATTATTAAAACGTAAATGTTTCAGTATAAGAAATACATTTATAACATTCTGTAAAAAAAAGGTTTTTTTTCAAATTTATAATCATATCAATGTTGAAGTAAAAGGAAAAGTTCAAAACTGCAATTCCCTCGAAGAATAAATGTTAAGGACACGAAATTAGGTGAAGGTGCACAGGCCAGTGTTTTAACGTGTTTAGAGAACAGACTCCATCAGTTTCATTATTGTGTGGCCCTGGTAAAGATCATACATTTGCATATTCATAGCTTAAAAATTTAGATGAATGTAATTAATAGAAAGTCCCGGGAGAACTATGTCTGTTGCATCAATTTCGGAACGTTTAACTGAAGCTGCAGGTGTTAAGATTTATATGGCGGAAAACAGTACGTCAATCGATACAGCCTTTACGGGGGAAATTTGTATAATATTAGAAAATATAAAAAAAACGAAAGCAATTGATAAATCTTGCGAATTTCATTTAACAAAATCAAAGTAGGATCGTTATCCTACGTTATCTACGATCGTTATCGTGGATAACCTATATCGAAACCGGGTGTTTTGACGATCATGCTGGACTTAGGTAAGAATAAGAAAAACAATGGAATAATCTGTTTTATTTTATATGTTAAATGTTACAGCTGGTGATTGTTTAATTATTATCGATGGAATGAATTTAATAGGACTAAAAATAATACAAATAGCGACTTTAATCCACTATTATGAAGGATGTGATTTAAAATAATTTATCTGGAGATACATTAACAAAGGTGAAAAAAAATAAGTCATAGTTGTGAAAGCAGCACTGCCAGCAGTGGTCTTCAAACTTGCGAATGCAATAATTGGAGTGATGTGTAAACTCCGATAATAGACAGTTCCTTTATTATTAAAGAATTGCCCTTTAAATGTTTCTAGATATACGTTACGATATTTTAGAAAAATAACTACTACATCCATTTAAACCCGGGTTCTAGAATGCCCATTTTGTTTGGAAAGCTCAATGTCACCAATTCCTCAGTGATTATATCATTGGTGATATCATTTGTATTGAATGTAGATTGAAAACATGTCAAATCGGACGTTAATTTGTCAAACACGAGAAAACGTCTGCTCCGATACTATATGATAATCTGTGATTTATGTATTATCCAATAACACAAATAGTTATTAACTAATGCCAGTAAACGTTAATTTAATTGAAGTTTATGGTATTAAGAAACGTGCGATTTATATCTTCGAAATGTGTGTCTTATGAATCAAAATCGAATACGAAATTTGAGAGTGATCACAGTTATTATTGACTAATAATTCCTACGTTTAATCAATAAACTTGTTAAATAAAGTTTGTTCATTTCCTCGGCCAGGGTTCATTTTCTTGGCCAGGCTGCTGTATAGTTAAATTAGCCGTAGTAGCTTTTACCTTATTGTAGTACAAGGTATTTACGCTAGAGTGAGCCACAGACCTATGCTGGTTCACAATTTTCATATACTGGTCATGCATGTTTTTCAGATTCATAAGTAGGTGATAATATTTTGATGTTTTTTTTTCGATTCTTTCGCAAATTTTCAAAATAGGTTCGGAATAATTTCACTTAAAATTGATAAATACGAGAATATTCCAAGATTTTGTGTTAAAATTCGGTTATCTCAAAAAGCTCGTGAGAAATATACAAATTTCAAATACGAAGATATAATAAGTGTAAAAATGACATCGATTGATTCCAGCAAAATAGCTGATGTTGAAGTTAAAAATGAGAATGATATATCAACATCAGAAGTAATGCAGACAAATAATGATCGAAATCTAAATATCTCAACTGTTGCAAAAGTTGATGAGGAAACTGTGATTTCTTCAGAAATATCCACTAGCAATAAAGCATTATACTCTTTCTGCAAAGAAAAAAGTATAGTGAATGCTCTAACTCTTGGAGAAGTGGGTACTCTGGAAATTCAGACAGAAATAAAGAATAATGCATATGGTATTACATTATTACCTAATAGAGCAGAACTTGACTATGAAAAATTAGTAATCGATTTGCCTAGAATGTGCTCGCAAATGGCAAAATGTTCAACTCATAGGTAAATAATAGCAATATGCCATACATTATTTCAACAAATTAAACGTTAATATAGTTTTTAAAATTATTAAGTTTTAGACCAAATGTAGGAGATTTAATATGTGGTCGAAGAGCTGATGGAGATTGGCTTAGGGGATATGTTGTATCTAACCAACCATCCATAAGAATGGCTATGATAGAGGAAGCTAAAATAGTGCCAATTAATAAGATTGCTACATGCGATAAACTCTTTTCAGATATTTATGCATTTGGTGCAATTTGTGAAGTGACTGATGCTAAACATAAATTTGAAGTAAGATTTATAATAACTAATATGCTGTTAAATATAATGTATGTTACTTCTTAATTTCTCAATTATAACTTCTAGGAAGGTGACATGTGTGAATTTGAAGTAACAGGCCAAACACATAATAAGGAACAAGGCGGATTTGAAATATTAATTCTTAAAAAAGAGATGAATGTCTATCTGAAGATAGAAGCTACCGTAAAGCCTTGGATACCAATGCCTGAACAAATAGGGTTACAGTATGCTGAATTGAAAAATGAATCTGAAGTACGATCCTTGATTTTAATTTAGATAAAAGTATTTATTATTTTACTATTATTTTATTTATTTTACCATTGCTTTTGTACAAAGTATCATTTTTTCAGGTATGCCTTACTTCTTATCGAAGTCATATACATCTATTTGTTCGTCCCTTAGATACTGCAGGTTTGGAACACTATAACCATGTTATGCAAAATGTTGCAAAATGTGCTCAAACATGTACGTAAAATAGTTGATAGGATTTAGTAAAAATTAAACTAACTTTGTACAAACTTGTATAAAATAAAAATACCATTTTGTTTTTTCTTTCCTATAGCTTCATTTTTAAAAGAACTGCCAGTTGTGGGGCAAATGGTAATAGCTCAGTTTGCTGACGAAAATTATTATCGTGCAATTGTTATTAAGATACAAGATGATAAAATTACAGTTTTGTATGTTGATTTTGGTAATACAGAAGTTACAGATATAAAGAAACTTAAGATTTTATCTGATAATTTGAAAGAGGTGGGTTATAATTTAATATATGTATGATAATATAGTTTAAAGGTATTTGTATCTATTTAATCTGTTAATCTAATTTTTAAAAAAAGCTCCGATCTTGTACAACAAAAGTCGTACTAAAAGATGTTCCTAAAAATGTCCGTGTGACGAAAGAAGTGAATGATTATCTAGCTCAAATAGTAGGAACTAAAGTTCCTCTGTTATGTACATTTGAAGGTATGCCTTCCAAAGATGGTGTTTATCTGAAATTTCGTGATGGAAAAAGCATTAATAAAAAGATAAGTAAATTACTCGAGCCGATATCTAAGAAAGCTGCTGAATGAATAGAAAAATGAATCTCAGTATTAGTTGCTCCCAATAGTTGCATTAAAATAAAAATTATTGGCCGCATGCTCGAAATTGCAATGTATAATGTGGAATTACTATTGGACAAAGCCAAATTAATTGAAGATGGTTTAATATCAGCTCGGAAAAGAAAGTGCCTCGTTTTGCGAAAGCAGAACATCTTAATTCTAATACTTGAAGCTAGAATTGAGATATTTTTAGTTAAAATAATTAAAACATGATTTGTTATTTGAAAGTATTTTAATATTTGTAAAAGACATTCCACACTTTGATATTATTGTATCTTCTGTTATTTAGCAATTCAAAAATTTGATATCTTAAATTAGAAATTGCAATATGTCAGTCAATTACTATGTAAGATCAGTACTTTTGAACACTTTTTTTATAGTTACTTTTGTCAATATTATGTTTTATTTCCGTGAATCTCTATATTCAGTATACTTTTTGCGAGACTTGTATTTTGTGTACAATTTATAATAAATATGAAGTGAAAATAAAGAGTACGCCTAGTGCAGTTAATTGTATACTGAAAGATAAATTTGTCGACTGTGGTAATCTTTTCACTAATAAAAATTATGAACTTTTTATAATTTTATAATAGGCATTTTTTATGTGTTCAGTACCTAATTTAAGTGAAATTATAGCTGATTTGACGATTTATCATCCTAACCTATCTCGCAAACAGCTAACTAACCTCCTTGATGTGTCTGTTCAGATGACAGATCGCTGTAAGCAACTGTTCAATTTAAATAATACGAGGCTTCCAAACAATAGGAGTAATAAATGATGAATGTTCAAATAAGACACCCTTACGAGGGTCTATTACATAAATATACTAATGCCATGAAAGGATGGCAATATCGTTGGTTTATACTTAGACCAGAGACTGGAGAATTGCACTATTTTTTAAGCGAATCTGAACGAAATCAACGACCACGATGCTCGATATATTTAGCTGGTGCAGTGATTGCGCCGAGTGATGAAGATTCTAATACCTTCACCGTTAATTCTGCTACAGGTATTTAGAGCTTGTCATGTAATATAACGCCTCACCCTTTACAAGCTCGTGTAATATAGTAACCAAAGTATAACACTTATGATAACGTTTATGCATCAATATAGGTGATATGATAAAATTAAGAGCCACAGACGCCCGAGCTCGTCAAGAGTGGGTTGACAAACTGCGAGCTGTTACAGAAATGTATACTAGAGCAATAGCTAGTAGTCATCCTCCTTTACCTCCAAGAGAACATTCTGCCAATTCCAACAGAAATCCAGTTGCCAAACTGGAAGTTTTAGACGCATTTGCTAATTGTCAGGAGCAATTAAGAAAAGTAGAAAAGCATAATCTTGCATTAGCCCAAACCATTGAGAACTCAAGTTTAAATTTAGATCCCGATTTGTTAGTACTTAAAGCAACTGCACATACTACTTTACATATATTAAATCAATGCCTCAATATATTATATCAGTAACTTATTAGAAATTTTGTTATCATTCATCAAAAACATGAAAGAATTATTTTATCAATTATTATCAAAATGTATCAAGTGCACTCCATTTAATTTGGGTAGGTTATATTTTTGATTTGTTATTGACGATCCAGTTGTGTGATCTTCCAAGTCAGCGACATGTGAAATATTGCTTTCTTGTTAATTGCTAGATAAAAACAAATAATTACCACATTTCTAATATTTTTCAATATAAGGTCTTGCTATGGTGTGGCGTTGTTTCAAACCTTTAAATCTATATATATAGATACTAATCGGATTGATATAGAATTAAACAAATGTTTGTGATTATTGTACGTAGACATATGAATAAAAAAATATACTCATATATGTAATAATTAATTATTATTAATAAGGCCTTCATTATTAAAACGTAAATGTTTCAGTATAAGAAATACATTTATAACATTCTGTAAAAAAACGTTTTTTTTAAATTTATAATCATATCAATGTTGAAGTAAAAGGAAAAGTTCAAAACTGCAATTCCCTCGAAGAATAAATGTTAAGGACACGAAACTAGGTGAAGGTACACAGGCAAGTGTTTTAACGTGTTTAGAGAACGGACTCCATCAGTTTCATTATTGTATGGCCCTGGTAAAGATCATATATTTGCATATTCATAGCTTAAAAATTTAGATGAATGTAATTAATAGAAAGTCCCGGGAGAACTATGTCTGTTGCATCAATTTCGGAACGTTTAACTGAAGCCGCAGGTGGTAAGATTTGTATGACGGAAAACAGTGCGTCAATCGATACAGCCTTTACGGGGGAAATATGTATAATATTAGAAAATATTAAAAAAAAAAAAAAACGAAAGCAATTGGTAAATCTTGCGGATTTCATTTAACAAAATCAAAGTAGGATCGTTATCCGTGGCTAAGCTATATCGAAACCGGGTATCTTGACGATCATGCTGGACTTAGGTAAGAATAAGAAAAACAAAGGAATAATCTGTTTTATTTTATATGTTAAATGTTACAGCTTTAATCCACCATTATGAAGGATGTGATTTAAAATAATTTATCTGGAGATACATTAACGAAGGAGTAAAAGAATTTGCGTAGTAGTGAAAGGACCATTGCCAGAAGTGGCCTGTAAACTTGCAGACGCTTTGCGATATTTTAGAAAATTAATTATTAAATTCATCTAGACCCGAGTTCTAGAATGCTCAGTTTTTCAGGAAATCTCACTGCCACCAAGTCCTTGGTTTGTTTATGGTCATATCGTTTGTGTTGGATGTAGATTGAAAACACATCAAGTCGGACATCAAATCATCAAACACGAGAATACGTCTGGTAGGATTTTATATGATTGTTTATGATCTATTCATTATCCAATAACACGAATAGTTATTAACTAATGCCAGTAAACATTAATTTAATTGAAGTTTATGGTATTAAGAAACGTGCGATTTATATCTTCGAAATGTGTGTCTTATGAATCAAAATCGAATACGAAATTTGAGAGTGATCACAGTTATTATTGACTAATAATTCCTACGTTTAATCAATAAACTTGTTAAATAAAGTTTGTTCATTTCCTCGGCCAGGCTGCTGTATAGTTAAATTAGCCGTAGTAGCTTTTACCTTATTGTAGTGCAAGGTTGTGCAAGGTTACGCTAGAGTGAGCCACAGGTCTATACTGTTTCAAAATATGAATATAGTGATGATGTTCCAACCTATGTTATCCATTTCCGGATTCGTAAGTAACGGAAAACTGTTTTATGTTCTTTTTGGATCCTTTTGCTAATTTTCGGAATGGGTTTGGAATAATTTAATCTAAAATTGAGTAATACAAGTATATTCCATGATTTTCTGTTAAAATTCGGTTATCTCAAAAAGCTCGTGAGAAATATACAAATTTCAAATACGAGGATATAATAAGTGTAAAAATGGAATCGGTTGATTCCAGCAAAGTAGCTGATGTTGAAGTTAAAAATGAGAATGATATATCAACATCAGAAGTAATGCAGGCAAATAACGATCAAAATCCAAATACCTCAACTATTGCAAAAGTTGATGGGGAAACTGTGCTTCCTGCAGATTTATTCGCTTACGATCCAGCGAATTATTCTTTCTGCAAACAAAATAGTATAGTTAATACTCTAACTGTTGGAGAGTTGGGTACTCTCGAAATTCACTCAGAAATAAGGGAGGGTGTATATGGTATTACATTGTGGCCTGAGAGAGATTATGATGACTTTTTCGAGCAATTGTATTCAGTAATCCCGGAAGCTACTATATGGGAGAATCGTAGGTAAGTAATAGCAATATCCTATACATTATTTAAACAAATTAATTAAACAAATCAAATGTTAATATATTTTGCAAAAATTATTAATTTTTAGACCAAATATAGGAGATTTTGTATTTGGTCAAACCTTTAATACAGATTGGATTAGGGGATATGTTGTAGCTCTGATACCATACTTAAAAATAGCTATGATAGACCAAGCTAGAATAGTGTTTGTTCTTAAGCTTGCTACATGCAAACCACCGCTTTTAGATATGCCTGCATTAGGTGGATTATGTGAATTAACTGATGCTACACATAAACTGAAGGTAAGATGTACAGTATCTAATATGTTGTTAAGGATATTGTATGTTACTTCTTAATTTCTCAACTATAACTTGTAGGAAGGTGAAGAGCTTGAATTTAAAGTAATAGGCAAAACAGATAATGAAGAACAAGACGGATTTGAAATATTGATTCTTAATGGAGATTATGAGTTAAAAGCTACTGTAAAGCCTTGGGTTCCAACGGTGGAACAAGTGGGAATACTATGTGGTGATGTGACTAATGGACGTGAGGTATGATTTTTGATTTTAATTTAGATAAAAATAGTTATTATTTTACTATTATTTTATTTACTTTGCTATTGCTTTTCGTCAAAGTATCATTTCTTTATTACAACCATTTTTACAGGTATGCGTTACTGGTTATCGAAATCATATACATCTATTTGTTCGTCCCTTAGATGCTCTAGGTGTGGCACGCTATAACTCTATTATGGAAACTGTTGCAAAATGCGCTGAAACATGTACGTAATATGGTTGATAACATTTTATAAGAATTAAACTTAAATACAAAGTTTTGTATAAACTCGTATAAAATAAAAAAGAACTATTTTTCTTTCTTTTCTAAAGCTCCATTTTTAAACAATCCAGTAATTGGGCAAATGGTATTAGCAATGACCACTGATGGAAGATATTGTCGTGCACGTATTCTTGATATACATGAAGTTGGAGTGGAAGTTCTGTACAATGATCTTGGTCGTACAGAGTATGTAGATCCGAAGAAAATTAAGGTTCACCCTGATAGTTTGAAAGGGGTCGGTTATAATTTAATATATGTTTGATAATATATTTTAAAAGTATTTATATCTATTTAATCTATTAATCTAATTTTTAAAATAGATTGGGTATTTTATGTCAAAACTAAAACTAGGAGGTATTCCTCCAGATATCCCACCACTACAAGACATAATTGATCTTCTGGACAACGTAGTGGATAATAAAGTTCCTCTGATGTGTACATATGATGGTATACCTTCCATAGATGGTGTATATCTGAAATTTCGTGACGGAAAAACCCTTAATGATATGATATATAAATGTATCGAGGAGAATTGTGATATGTCTTATGAGTAAATAGAAAAATTAATCGCAGAATTAGTTGCTCCGGATAGCTGTACTAAAACAAAAATTATTGAGCGTGAACTTGTATTTGTGTGTCGTCTATAATGTGTAATTACCATTGGTTAAAGCCAAATTAATTGGTGAATGTTTAATATCAGATCGGGGGAAAAAAAGGAAACAAAAAAAAAACATGCATCTCATTATGCAAAAGGAGAACATATTAGTTATAATGTTTGAAGCTAAAATTGAGATATTTTTAGTTAAAATAGTTAAAACATGATTTGTTTCTTGAAAGTATTTTAACATTTCTAGAAGACATTCCACTCTTTGATATTATTGTATCTTCTCAAACAGTATGTAAGATCAGTACTTTTTGAACACTTTTTTTATATTTACTTTGGTCAGTATTATATTTTATTTCGGTGAATCTCTATATACAACATACTTTCTGCGAGACTTGTATTTTGTGTACAATTTATAATAAATATGAAGTGAAAGCAAAGAGTACGTCCAATGCAGTCCTATACTGAAAGATAAATTTGTCGACTGCGGCTGTAATCTTTTCACTAATGAAAATTATAAACTTCTTATAATTTTATAATAGGCACCTTTTTGTGTGTTCAGTACCTAATTTGATTGAAGTTATAGCTGATTTGATGATTTATCATACTAATCTAGCTCACAATCAGCTTAATAACCTACTTGATGTGTCTGTTCAGATGACAAATCGCTGCAAGCAACTGTCCGATTTAAATGATGCGGGGCATTCAAGCAACAGAAATAATAAATGATGCATGTTCAGATAAGACACCCTTACGGGGGTCTACTACGTAAGAATACTAATGCCATGAAAGGATGGCATACTTATGACAGCGTTTATGCATCAATACAGGTGATATATATAGCAACTAATTATTATTAATAAGGCCTTCATTATTCAAACGTAAATGTTTCAGTATAAGAAATACATTTATAACATTCTGTAA